TTTGAGTTCAAACAGTGTGACACAGGGGTCAACAAGTACATTCTGTGACTGTCTGCAGGCTGTTGCTATCAAGTGTAAACAAATATCGTAAATATTGCGGTCCGTCTGATCGGTAACTATCAGAAGCTCACATGGTCATTGTTATATTGTCCATTATTTACTCAATGATATTACGTATTGTATCACAGTATCCAATACTTGATTATTATATTATGTCTGACAAGAAAGTGTAAATAAATCGCGATATGAAAGGGAGAATATTGTAAAATAATCAATAAATAAATTTTTATCTTTATTTTTCAATAGGTTATGTCATATTTGTTTGATCTATACTACATTGTTTATAATAATACAACATTTTGATGCGCACTTTATTATATTGAACATTCACACGATTACAGAAAGATAGATACAGTAATGTAGTATGATGGATTCAATTTTTTCTAACATTCAAAAGATTTGATATTTATTTTCTATTTTTCAATAATAAAAAAGCTTTTTTTGTGTTTGAATGTAAGAGAATTCTTTGTCAACAATTATCAAATGAAAATTTAAGATCCCCGCACCCTCTCCATAAAAAAAAATAAATAGAAATTAGAAGACATCTACGTTAAAGCTTAGATAAAACTGCCCATTGGTTGCTAGGAAATGTCATATATTGCAATCAGTAAATCAGCTTAAAATATTTTGGGCTAATCGGTCCAACAAAAAGCGGGGTTCCGCTCTGATAAGATGAAGGCCAAAGAAGTGTTAAAGATGCTATAATGGTCTTTTCAACTTTAATCATTATTACTGATAGGGCTTACAATACCATCGTTTATTTAAATACTTAATTCCCACTGTCAGAATTTCACAGTTTTGAAAATGGTCATCTCTAAGAAAAGCATGCCAGTAATCAAGCTTCTTTTTGATTGTGATTTTTAAATTGAAATAAGCCATGCCAGTGATCAAGCTTTCCTTTGATACTGACTTTGTAATTAATATTAAGCAAGCCAGTAATCAAGCTTTCTTTTGATACTGATTTTGTAATTAATATTAAGCAAGCCAGTAATCAAGCCTCCTTATGATACCTTTTTTTTTTAAAAGAAATAATCTGATTGGTGATTGGTTGTTGTTTATTTTAAATAAATTTCAAAATTTTAATGTTTACAAAGTAATTTTTTGTAAATTACATTTTGTACTGAAATGCCTTTGAAAAGCGAAGTTGAAAAAAAAAATCTAAATTCAATAAAATTAAAATAACTTATCATTTAACACCTAAAAAATGTTGTTATCTTCATTCATAAAGATAACAAAAAAAAAAGAAGAAGAATTCTATAAGGATTTAGCTGCATTCACATTTTGTGCCCGGGCCTTCAAATATTTTGAATAGTTGTACTGAAATTGGGACAATAAGTTACTGTTCGAGCATAAATTCATTTTTGAAATACATTTTTTTCCATTAACAATATCATGAAAACAAACTTCAAGGATGTGTATCAAAGAAAAAATGTAAACAACTTGCCAATCCTCATTGTTGTTCATTTTTTCACCTGATTTTCACAATTTATCACAAAAATTTTATTCAAAGCATGGTCAGGCATGATGGATTTTTCTATCTTCATTTATCAAAAAGTAAGTAAATTGTGTAACAAAAAAAAAATTATTCAGTAATTAAGTTTCTTGCCCATGAAGTTCAAGGTTAAAATCAGTACATTTCCCAACTGTAAACAAATATGATTCTTAAAAAGAAGACATATGAGGGGATATCCAAAAGTATGCAGGCTTTTCTTAGAGTTTTAAAATTGCAATGGTTATAGTTACAAATGGAAATACACCAGCAGTTTTTTAAATGAATTTTGTTTTGAAAGTCATCTCAGAGCCATATTCTGTCATAGCATCTGTTTTTTGTTTGTTTTTGGTTGGATTCAGTTCAAACATCAATTTCAACCAATAGAAACTTACTTTACACATCCCTAAAAACTCTAAATCAAGTGATACCTTTTTTTGATTTGCATATTATGTAACATTTACACTGCAAAACATTTTTTTGTTATTCCATAAAACCTTGATACTATGACCTCTGTAAAGTTCATTGCATATTTAAACTTTACAACTTTTACATAAAAAATGCTGAAAATGTCACTAAATGGATAAATCATCATAAAATGCTAGCATTTATAGTTTTGCTGATTTTGTTAACTGCACGAGCGTGGTGATATTTTTTCAACAAAGCAAACTGCGCAAATAAACAATCGGAAATAATTCTGCACCTATTATCTACAATAAACTTTCACCCCGTAGATAATGGGCGAGAAATCGGTACCAGTTTTTACCGTGCACAAATTTTCCCAGGCTTAATTTCGGTGATAACATCGTAAATTGTTACGTTATTAATAATATTATTAACAAAAGGTAAACAAGTTTAAAACATGATAAGAGGGCCATAGTTATTATATAGGAAAGGTCATACATTTTGTAATTATCTTATTTTCTGACCTTTTTTACATCAAATTTATAAATAGCCCAAAAAAGTGTTATCTTAAATCAAATTACATGAATACATTTTTCTATTACAAATAACTTTTAATTTTGCGTGTAAATTTACATATAACAAGATATGTTTGTAAAACATGTATGCCCCCTATCTGCAGCCAATTAGTCATGTGATAAGGTTATTATGCATGACTTCTGACCCAGTGATCAAACAATTAATAAGGGTTATCAAGTATCTACTGGTCATGACCTTAACCTTTGACCCCTTGACCCATAACTCAATAGGGGTCATCTGCTGGTCACGACCAATCATCATACAAAGTTTGAAGTTCCTAGGCCTAAGCGTTTTTAGTTAATTGATCGGAAACCGTTTTTACCTACAAGGTCAATGTGACCTTGACCTTTGACCCCTTGACCCAAAATAAATAGGTCATCTGCTGGTCATGACCAATCACCATACCAAGTTTGAAGTTCCTAGGCCTAAGGGTTCTTTAGTTATTGATCGGAAACCGTTTTAACATACAAGGTCAATGTGACCTTGACCTTTGACAACAAAATCAATAGGGGTCATCTGCTGGTCATGACCAATCACCATGCCAAGTTTGAAGTTCCTAGGCCGAAGCGTTCTTTAGTTATTGATCAGAAACCGTTTTTACTTACAATGTCAATGTGACCTTGACCTTTGACCCCTTGATCCCAAAATCAATAGGGGTAATCTGCTGGTCATGACAAATCACCATACCAAGTTTGAAGTTCCTAGGCCTAAGCGTTCTTAAGTTTTTGATCAGAAACCGTTTTTACTTACAAGGTCAATGTGACCTTGACCTTTGACCCCTTGACCCAAAACTCAATAGGGGTCATCTGCTGGTCACAACCAATCATCATACAAAGTTTGAAGTTCCTAGGCCTAAGCGTTTTTAGTTAATTGATCGGAAACCATTTTTAACTACAAGGTCAATGTGACCTTGACCTTTGACCCCTTGACCCCAAAATCAATAGGTCATCTGCTGGTCATGACCAATCACCATACCAAGTTTGAAGTTCCTAAGCCTAAGGGTTCTTAAGTTATTGATTGTAAAGCATTTTTACCTACAAGGTCAATGTAACCTTGCCCTTTGACCCCTTAACCCCAATATCAATAGGGGTCATCTGCTGGTCATGACCAATCACCATACCAAGTTTGAAGTTCCTAGGCCTAAGGGTTCTTTAGTTATTGATCGGAAACCGTTTTAACCTAAGAGGTCAATGTGACCTTGACCTTTGACCCCTTGACCCCAAAATCAATAGGGGTCATCTACTGATCATGACCAATCACCATATCAAGTTTGAAGTTCCTAGGCCTAAGGGTTCTTTCGTTATTGATCGGAAACCGTTTTTACCTACAAGGTCAATGTGACCTTGACCTTTGACCCCTTAACCCAAAATCAATAGGGGTCATCTGCTGGTCATAACCAATCACCATACCAAGTTTGAAGTTCCTAGGCCTAAGGGTTCTTTTGTTATTGGTCAGAAACCGTTTTTACCCAAGAGGTCAATGTGACCTTGACCTTTGACCCCTTGACCCCAAAATCAATAGGGGTCATCTACTGATCATGACCAATCACCATACCAAGTTTGAAGTTCCTAGGCCTTAAGGTTCTTTAGTTATTGATCGGAAACCGTTTTTGCTTACAAGGTCAATGTGACCTTGACCTTTGACCCCTTGACCCCAAAATCAATAGGGGTCATCTACTGATCATGACCAATCACCATACCAAGTTTGAAGTTCCTAGGCCTTAAGGTTCTTTAGTTATTGATCGGAAACCCTTTTGGCTTACAAGGTCAATGTGACCTTGACCTTTGACCCCTTGACCCCAAAATCAATAGGGGTCATCTACTGGTCATGACCAATCACCATACCAAGTTTGAAGTTCCTAGGCCTAAGGGTTCTTTAGTTATCACTCGGAAACCATTTGGTCTACGGACCGACGGACCGACGGACCGACAAGTGCAAAGCAATATACCCCCTTTTCTTCGAAATGGGGGCATAATTAATCAATATTAAGCAATTGGTTCATCTCCGACATTGTTTTCATTCAGAAATAAAGTTTGGGTGCATACATTCTGGATATTTCCTTACAAATGATAGAAGAGTTTTGTCCAGTCTGAAATATGGACAAAGCCCCGAGAAATCTAACCTGGTAATAAACTTTTTCCGATTCATGCCTATGAGAAATCCATGCACCAACATAATTAAGTTCATATGGGGAAATCAGTATCAGAAAAGATGATTTTGGCTTACCTCGAGTGTTACAAACTTAAAGCAACACCAGTGGTCAAAACCACCTCACCTGCTGAAGCAAAGAGATACACAGATTCCAGAAATTTAAACCCATTAAGTCGCCTCTAACGATAAAGCAGGGATAAACGTTGACTGCAATTCTGATGCCTCAACCTTTTGAGGTAACCCTCTCAAATGTCACCTAACAAGATGTTAGAATAAAAAAGATCTCTGTCAGTTTTTCTATGTAACAAAATAAACTTACCACAAAGTGGGTATGGAGCTTCATCAGGTCCTAGCCGGACCCACAACTGATAGTCTTTCGCCTCTGACTCCTGAAAATATAGAAATATAATATTGTCAATTAAAAAGCATTAAAAAGTCTTTGGTTTGTGATATGAACAAGCATTGAAAGCTCTAGCAAGAAGAAACTGTGTTTGTTCCGTAATATCATTTTTTCTCTAGAAATATAATATATAAAAATTATGTCTCAGTTCAGAACTGTTCACTATTTTGGAAGATAATCTGTAAGGTGCCGGGTAGTTCAGTCTGTTGTACCGCAGAATGGTATTCCGCGGGTCGTGGGTTCTATTTGTATCACCAGACTATGTTTGAACCTTGAACTTACTAGTACCACCAGACTATAGATATAACTAGACATTTATCTAACTGCTGAGTTTATTATCTGACATTATGATTATACGGCAATTACAGAAAATTTAATAAAACCAAAAATTCACTATAATTGCATTATCAAATGCAATATTTCTTTACCACACCAAAATTGAACAACAACAGCAAGAAACAACACTAAATATTAAGATCTATTAATTAAAATTCAAATGAGGCATAATAGAATTAGTTAGCAAACGAAACGGTAATTATAAAATCTAAAAAAGCCCATGACTCTTGTGTCATTTTGCCATTGTTGCACGAAATTTCATTTAAATTTTCGCCCCCATTGTCCAAAACGCCCCCGTACAATATTCAGACTTAGTCAAGATAATCAAATTAACCACCATAGCATTAAAATAGCCACAAAATTTGTCAATGTCCAGTCAAATGTACATGTATTATACTTAACGACATAAAATATGTCATTTAATTGGTCAGATATATATTTCATTGTCCAGTCTTAAATTAGTAATGCCTGACCAACACCAAGATAGTGACTGGGGGAAAGTATAGAAAAAAAAAATTTTTTTAAAATTTTTTCATTATAAAAAATTTTTTGAATTTTCAAAAAAAATTTTTAAATTTTAAATTAACATAAATCTGTAAATTTTTAAAAATTTTCTCCAAATGAAAAAAAAAGGTTTAAAAATTTATTCTTAAAAAATTTTTAAATTTTTAGTACTTTTAAAAGTCAAGTTTTTTAAAAAAAATTGGTCTTTTCCCTTTAATTACATATAAAATAAAAACCAAAAAAAAATATCCATAAATTTTACACCTTTAAGATAAACAATATTTTGCTTTAAAAAAATATAAATTTAACTATAAGTGAAAAATAAATACAGACCTTTATGCGCACACAATGTTAATTGTCTATGATATTTTTTCCCATTCATAACACAAGATAAATTTCTGAATGGAAAAAACTTACAATTTCTTTATATTTATATACATGTAACTAGTTGGAGCACAAACACCATTGACGTAATAGCCTGATTTTTTTCTACATGAATTTTCATGGAACTGTCAAAGACATGGTCAACAATAAATTGTACATGTCAGACAATAATTGATCTGATTATGACATGAAAACATGACCAAATAAACATGTTTGCTTCAATTAATTTGACTGTAGTACAAGAGTCAAGGAAATTTCCAAAATATAGGTTGGTCAGAACTTTTCAGACCAGCAGATGTCAATCATCCTTCAGACATTTGTGCTATTTGCTTTTAAGTGTCCAAAGTTTCCACATGAACACCAAAATGTTTTCAATAGCACTGCCAGGATCACTCTGCCATAAGCAATTTTAGTCATAATTATATCAAAATTGCGTCAGAAGTTATAGTTTGGCTGTAACACGATTTCCTGCCAAAGTTACCAGTATGCAAAATCATTATATCAATTGATTAGAAATCTACTGAAATCTAGTATACTATTGCTGAACGTATTTCATAACTTGTTGATTGAACATATAGATGCTAATACCATGAATAATTATAAAAGTACAATTGAGATCTTGAATGGCATATGCAAACTTTAAACACTAAATAAATAAAACTCAGGGCTTCAGCAATTTCTATTACATGCCACCAAAATAATGCTCCTACCAAATAAGAAATAAACCCTAGTTCAATATTCTAATAAACAATCCCAAACATATTTTGTTACTTTTCTGCTGTACTTTGCAGACACACATCTTTACATTTTAAAATTTGTACTTTTAAGCAGCTCTCCCTCATTAAACAATACAGTTCATTGTGTATGTCAAAATCAGGTGAAAAGTAGTGCTGGCGTATTAGTACATAACTTCCTAACGTAAGAAATGAAGAAATACGTGGTATACTAATGAGATATGTCAAACGCAGCAGTTACATGCACTTAAAACTGTCCTCTTGTCCTGTCCTTGCATTTTTATCTTTCCCGGTCAAATTTGGGCGGGCTTTAAAATTTTTTAAACCAACCCACCAGGGTTTACCCCCGTTTATCGTTTTGGGTGATAAATTTTAGTAAACATGTGTACTTTTAAATTTTAAGCATAGTTACTACAAAACCTTCTGACGTACAGTTTTTCTAATGTATGTCACTCCTTTTGCAAAGATGACTGACTTTTTGTTTTTTTTACCAGATAAACTTTTTAATGTACATGTTTTAGTAAAATTTCATAATTTAAAAAAAAGAAAGAAAAAAATTGTGTGTATTGCCATGGTAACTGACATAAATAATTTAGCAATAAGTTTAATCCTAAGAAATTGAAAAACCTTTGAAAGCAACACTATTTTTGTTTGTTTGTTTCATTTTACGCCTTTTCCCCAACAGTAATAAGTATTTCAGTCATATAGACGGAAGCAACACAAAAGTTAACCCCATCACCACACAATATCCTTACTTATTCTATCATTTTTGAACCTTCCAGGTACATCGTTTTTGGTTTTGTTGAAATTAACAATGCAATTAAATTTAAAACACTGTCACGAAAAAAGGCTTAAATAGAGCCATGTATATTAACTTTTCTTGCAAATTCAACAAAATTTTGTTCCCATGGTTTTTGACCAGTTTGCACCGACAAGACAAAAAAGGGTCCAAGAAAAAATATATCATGAGGGGTGACACATCATAATGTACCAGTGACATCAAAAATTGCCTAAAACCAAAATGCTAAATTCTATTGTTTTTACAAGAAATGACGAAAAGTCAATCACTTCTAGCGTATTACAAATGTCATTTTCTAAACAAACATGCAAACACTGCACTAAAACATCATACTCCTTTGATCTTTTCCCCACCAAAAATGTCTTCAACTCACATTTGACAAAGCATTTGTTTTTATATCTATGACAATGAAGTATATAAATTTCCAATGTTTTGACATCTCGCACATTAAAATTTTTTACCTGCCGAAATCATCATTTTGTGCCCGCCACAATGAAAATCATCTGAAAATCCTTACAGTTATTTCTGATATAAACCATATTTTATATTTCCTACCTTTTTGTCTATAATTTATTTCATAAATGAACATGTTCATATTCCGTGAAATCTATTTTTAGTGACGTTAAAAATGCAGGGAAAAGAGATCCACATGTTTATCACCAATTTTGGACAAAATAAATGTAGGAGTAGTGGCTATATTTAAATAATACAAAGTTTATTTACATCAATTGTTCACCATAATTATACAAATTAACCTAATAAGATTAATATAGACATTATCAGATAAGATAACTAAATATTATTATTACAGTAATACTATTTGCAGTGTGATAATATTATCATGATAATAGAAGGATAACTGATAATTTTAGTTTGACCATCACAAAAACAATTAGGTCAGTATAAAATAACATGCATGTCTGCTTTAATACTAGTCAAATCAGTACTGGTGTCAGCATAATTCATATTAAACCAGTACTGCGGAACCATATATCAAACACTAACATAAACCTAACAAGGGACATAGTCAAACACCACCCCATCAAAAGATGAAAAATGACAAAGTTAGGCAAAAAAGAGTTAACCTCATCATTTTGTGCTTTTTTCCTTTATATATTTCAAATCAGGGCTTCCATTAGTTCCAGAACTTGGAAGTCAGAGACTGCAAAACGTCTGACATAATCACATTTGAAGTCCCATTATATAGGTAAAGAAGAAAAAGCATTACATTTTGAAAATTCACAAGCCAAAAACAAGGAGTAAATGACTCCAAAACTTTAAACTAATGGTTGAACCATAAACCCTAAAAACAGAGCCAAACATATCAATTGTATCATCTTTAAGTTCTGAATAAATTCATGTCTAATTTATGTCCATGTGAAGTTTCTATATAATCCAGACATTGTTTCAATGTTTTTAAGTTGGAATTCCCTGATTGCAAAAAACAAATTCAAGTTTGAAATACAGAATAATAGTACTTACGGTCATATTTAGCTGTTCAACACAAGACTTGACCACTGACAAGACATCAGTTACACTTTCTACTTCCACCTGGCATGCCTGAAATAATCATTCAAATCATGGTAAGATAAAAATCAACATCACCTTAAATAATTTACAACAAAAATAATATGATTTTCATATAAAAATAATTTCAAACAAAATAATTTCACAACCAAATTTAAACAAAAATAATATGCTTTTCATATCAAAAATAATATTTTTTCATAAAAACTTTCATAAATAAATTTTAAAAAATGAACTAACATAACTAACTTCCTCTACTCCAAGTCCTACTTGAAATCTTGTTCCTGATGACCCCATTTAGAAATAGCATAAATAGCAATTATAACATATAATTTGCCTTCTGAATTTTCACAACTTTCAAATCTCAAAAATTACTTTTGTATGTACATTTTAAATAAAGCACATTAATAATTCCCACAAAATCTAGAATACAAATATTATTAATATATTGTCTTTGTAATTTATCACATTATTTATTTCATAAAAACATCTTATATATTTATAAATCCTTTTATTTTGCTCTGTAACCTATGTGACCAAAACAATTTTTAAACTGAATTTTTATTTTTATTATTCAAGATATATATGATACTGATGATGAAAAAAATACCAACAAAAAGGCACCAGTAATAAAACTGTCAGATATATGGTGAAATGAATTCAGACTCTTCACTTCAGTCCAATTAAGTGGATCAACCTAATCTTTATTTGTATATTGTCACCTAATTATTACTTTACAATTACATGTCACTTTCATGCCATTCATCGTCCAATCACCAACTTGATTAATCAAAGAGTTTTAATGGTCAACTTGTTTGCAAAAATTTTGTCACACTTCCAGAGAACGTGTTATAAAATCTTTTGACCAGTTAATAAAATTTCACAAGTTTACAAATTTTCTCCCCTCCTTGCAAAATATTTGAAACTTAATTAATAACAAAGCATAGTTATTTTCCTGTAAATGATGGATTAACAGGATGTTCTATATTTAGTAACAACAATTTTTAAAGCACTGAAATCTTTTAAGAATGATAAAGTGAAATTTAATCATTTATCTTTTGCATGACTTGAATATGTCATTATGTTTATATTGTATTAAATCTTAAGATAATTTCTGACAAGAATCAAACCAAACCTATGTGATTAACAGTTGAAAATTACATCAAAATATACTTAAGACATCTTTTTAAGATATTCTTAAGTAAAACAACAATCTGTGTTTTTTTTGTAATATGTGATGTAAACTTGAAATTTCAATTAATGAAAAAGGTACATTTTTTGTATTTTTGTTGGCTTTTATTTCCTGTTCAATATAATTATGTGCACACTTAATCCTTGCAAATATTTCATATGTAAATGAAATCAATGTATATTGCTAAAGCTTTTTTATACCATATTATGTTATGTTGTGTAAAATACTTGTTTGTTACATGTGTCCCAATTACAGAAGTTATATGGGTTATTTTTCCTCCATAAATAATCTTGTCAAAACTACATACCTTATCACTTTCTTTACTTTGCACATTTATTTGTAAACATTTTGGCTTTAATTTGGCACGCTCCTCGTCTATTTGTCTGAAAGACAGAAATAAAGCATCACAATAAACAATGCTCAAGTCTACAAAATGACCAATGAAATCTGTCAAAGAAGTAACATTTTCAAAAGAGTTAAAACCCTTTTCTAAATGGACTTGTCCATCCTTTAATCAGGACAGGATGAAACCATTCATCATACTTAGGGTAAGTTTTAAAATAATTACTGAGTAGCGAACAGTGCAGACATTGATCATACAGCATTGCTGTGCTGGCTGATCATGCTCTGCATCAGTTGCATGGGCAGAAACTGTTGCTGTCTGGCAGGCTAAGGGTTAAAGTGGATTGGTCTACAATGGTCACATTTTCCGTATTTATAATACCGATAAAAACAATAGAAATGTATCACCTGTATATCCTTACAAAATATTTCTTGAAAAGAATATTGATATAGTTTTCAGTGATTTAGTAAGAACATTTATATGATGAAAAATAATACTTTGTTCTAGAACAATTTATTATCTGCTACATATAGATATAATAATATGTCTCTCACACGATCAACAACTTTCATATTATATATAATTCTTTCAAGGTTTTTTGTCATGTATGATACAAAATACTATCAACGTAAGTATTTATGGTACAACAGACTTTCCGTTATGGACCAATCCACTTTAATATGCAGTATTTGTAAGGACCAACTTACTCTTTGAATTTATTGAGCCATGTTTCTTTTAACTCCAGACTTTTGAATGTAGCAACAAAGTTTGTTGTAGGCCAGCCTATCACGAATGATCGGTCCGTGGGTCGTGTAATTTCCGTGACAATATCTATACAGTCGGCAATCCACAACTCGCAGACACGTATTCGGTGCTTCAACTTAAATGTTGTGTTGGATCTACAAATAGAAACAAAATTTCATGAAATATATAATATTATCGTCAATAAAATTTAGAAAATTATAACATGAAAAGGGTGAATTTTTAACAGGTAGAGGAAGAAAAGAAATTGAGCTAACAACAGAACAGAGCCTTGTGGCAAAGACTAATCTCTTTCGATAAGGATTTATATTAACATAGGAAGTTATCAAAGTTTACATTCCTATATTGGTTAATATATTCTCCATTCACATTCTTCAAATTTGATGAGGAACATTTTGTGCATCATGCATGAAATTCATGGCTTGTAAATTCTATTCAATAGATGCATGCACAGTTGCTGCCTTTTATGTTGATGAAAATTTTTTTTTCTTAAAAAGTTACCAGATAGATAAGTTTAACTCGACTTAAATCATGCTAAAATATTTTAACGATTTTTATCTCGATTCATAGCCAAAACATGTTGATTTTTATCTGATCACATGCAAAACAATTTTCCCTTCTTTTAGAAACATTATACTAACATGAAAAAGTTTAGAAATATGCTAAGCATGCATAAAAATGCAAAACATGCATAAAAGTACATAAAAACCTATAATCGACATAAAATGTATGCAAAATTTGCATAGGGAAATTCTTAAAAGGATGCAAATATCTAAATTCATGATTTTATTTACTTATTTATGTTCTTATATTATTTACATATTTTCTTTTTCAGGGAGAAGAGGGGATGATGGACTTTCACTAAGATTATCGCAACTTTTGGATTTTATTGGTGATGAGGGAAACCAAAAGTGCACCGAACATTAACATGCATAGGCCTTTAAGTATATTTTTAATCTTAACATCTTAGCATATTCTAAAGCATCAACATTGTGCTCTTTTGCTGATTCAAGACCTAAACAAACTACATAATTATGTTATGTTCTTAAACAGGAAAAGGTGATTCAAGCCACAAATGACTCACTTTTTTAGTTGCGTTTACTATTTGTTTTGTACAAAAATGTACTTTCATTTTGATGACTTTTCACCTACCCACCTTTATGACCCCTATTAAATCTTGCACCTTTACCCCATCAGAGAAATAAAACTGAATATTTGCACCATTAAAAGATTTCTGTAAATTTGTGGTCTATTCATATGTTGTAATGGATGAGATTTTGATCAGCTAACAGTACCTTTAAAACCACATTAGATTTTTGCGGTTTTAAGATCAATATATATGGTGGTGTAAGAATTAATTGGTGTGGGGATTATATATCACCAATGTTGAAAAAAAACCTACAATAACAAAAATAACAACAAAAGAACATGTACCGCTCAGAACTTGAACATTACCCACAATTCAACAGAGACTGGTAAACTAATGATGCATTTCCCACAATTCTTCACTAACAGGATGTTGAAGTTAATGTACACATTTGATAAAAAAAACCCCAAAAAACCTGCACTTTAGAACTACTCAAAAGTAGAAAAGACATTGTCAGCAGCTATTTTGGTAGATTTTATTTCCTTTTGTGTGAATGACTTCTTTCCTGAAACATTCCCCCTTTCCTTTTGGAATCCATCTTAATGATTTCCTTTAAATTCAAATTTCAATTACTTTTTTCACACTCCATCCATTCTCATATTCAAATAAGACATTGAATTGTTATAGTAAGAAGTATGAGCATATCATATTACTCATTCATTGGTTGGTAAGGTCACAATAATGTACCAATAAAATGAATATTACACATACAATGTACTTAATAGGAGAATTTTTCTTCTTATTTTTTTTTATGCATTTCTGTCTCTTTTATGTTAAAGGCTCGACTAGTTTTAGTCATAATTGAAAAAATATTTATTAGGATGTTAAATGAAAGCAGTTTCCTTCATGAAAGTGACCAAGTGCTTATTATGTCATTATTTGTGGTACCTGCAGTGCTTTAAAATAATGAATGACCCAATTTTTGCATGTACTTGTAACTATGTTAATTTACAATGTCATTCATACAATCGTAATTCAGTGAGACTGTGTAACTGGCAGGGATTTTTAGTCCTGCAACTGACAGAAAGAGGACACAGACTTTTTGGACAGAAAGAGGACAGTAAACTTTTTGTTGTAAACATGAGGACCTCTCTAAAAGCAACAAATAACAATACATAAAACATCTCAATACCATAATGCTCTATAACACACATATCAGAAGAAACCTTAATTTCTTAAACCATTCCAAGGGCCATGACTCAAAACTAATCAGGGGCCGTATTCATAAAGCTCCTAAGGGAAAAAATTCCCTTAGATTCTAAGATTTCCCTTAAAAAACGTAAGATTTCCCTTACTTTTTAAGAATTTCCCTTACTTTTTAAGAATTTCCTTAGTTGCTATTCATAAAACTCCTTAGGACAAAAATTCCTCAATTTTGGCCGATTTTTCCCTTAAATATTAAGGTAGCCATATGCTCCATTAACTTTTAAGGGAAAAAGTTAAGGGATAAAAATGAAGAAGAAAAAAATGGCCGATTAGCAGACGATTTGTTCATTCCCTTTCTCAAATAACAAATCCAGCTACTATCCATTTTGGAATCGACGGAGATTTAATCATAATAATATCCGATGAAAATAATTCGTTCGTATATTAGCCAAACAACGCAGCTAACCGGAAATCTCCGTTCCAGCGGAGGCAATTTTCTGAATATTTTAACATTTTAAATGAATGTTTTATTGTATGAAGAACGTATTTTACGAATGCAGAACTGACTTTTTATTGTCTTAAAAAAAGAAACAGTATGTTTCCTGGATAGCCAAATCCTTACATGATGTTGGGAGCTTGCGGTAAATCGGAGAGCTAGAAGTCTAATAGTGCCCGGATTGATATTTCGGATACGGTCTAAAATCTACAAAAGTAAAAATTATAATGAATGTAATCAAGTTATAATAAGAGAATATGGAAGAAAATTTAAGATTTATATTCAATACACTCTTGATGAGGTTTCAAAAATGTTAAAAAAAAACCTCCATTTTTACAAATATACACTCGAGAAAAAGATGTACAAATCATTCACCTGCCGACCTGGATTCAGGACTTAATTTGCTAAAAACTTTTGGTAAGTAGATGTACGTTGATATGTATTTCTTTAGCTTACACTCAGATAAAAGGAACTTTAAGCATAATATTATAAAAATTTTAATTTAAAAGTAGAAATGTGACATGCAACTAGAGACTAGGGTTAAATTTCCAATTCTAACAAGACCCGCATTTTTTCCTATTGAACATAGAAGAACAGAAAGTGTTTGTTATTATGCATGTGACGTAATCATTATACACGTGACGTAACCACTAAAAATCCGACGCGCTGAAAATAAGTACGGAAACAAATCAGGCGCAAATTTGCTTAACTATCAAGTACGGCAACATTTATTTGTTGATGTTGTGTTAGAATCGAAATAATATATCCAAATCAGTGATTTTATCGCTTGATAACATCACTGTTTGTCGTTCGGATGCGCATATTATATCACTCGGGCTAAGCCCTCGTGATATAATTCCTCGCATCCGAACTCCAAACAGTGATGTTATTGAGCGATAGAATCACTGTTTGGGATATATTATTTCTTAAACAACTGTTTTATATAGAGCTTTATTGTCTGAAGGGTAGGAAGACACTTCACCCCCAGACGGCAGACACTTCACCCGTCAAGACACTTCACCCCTCATCCAATTTTTTTATTTATTTAAATTATTTTTAATATTATTTGATTAATAACTTTTTAATTAAAGGACTAAATAATATTGTATGTAAAATAAATAATACTGTATTGTATGAAAGATAAAAATATACTGGTTTCCTAGCAGTTTCCGTCCCCTAGCAGTTTTCTGGTCGTTTATCATTTTCGTCCAGTAGTCTATTTTTACCAGTAAGGCATCCACATTACTTCATCAATCAGAGAGACATTTGATTTCTATGCTAAACAGTACAATGATTTATTTGTTTTGAAGTTTTTCCTTTTATTTAAAGTTACATTTGTAAGAGAACTTGCGACTTTCAAAAATAAGCAACACCTGGGGAATTCTAGTTTGAATATCCATGCGCAAAAACTTAACCCCATTTTAGGTAAATCAATACTTCAGAAAATATTTTTGCAGACGACACGGAAAAGGTTGGGAAGTTCTGTTTGTCTGATAAAACCATCTTAACCTTTTACCCCATGAGCATATTGCGAAAAATGGCCGTTTTCATTGAAAAGCCTCCTGTAACAAGTTCAAACTGCTATGAAACTATGAAAAATGCTTCAATACTGATGAAACTTGGCACAAATGTTGACTACACCATAGCCTCTGTAACAGCATGCTCAATCGTAAATTTCCTGTTACCATGGCAAGGGGGGGACGTCTCAAATTGCCAAAAATCACTATTTTGCATTGTTTTTTTCCATCAGCCCTCCTCCAAACCCCCCAAACAGAAGGGGACATATCCCCCTTCTGGCAACCCCCTGATGTAACATTTGGATGGGGGACCGCGCCGAAAAAGTGGTCACTTTTTTTAACAACATTTCTCAAACGAAAACCAGTGCTTGGGGCCTAAATAGAGCATTTTTTCAATGTTTGAGGCCTTAAAAAGGGAGGGGGGGGGGGGGCGAAAAGCCGTCGAAACACGCTTATATGAGGGAAAAGGTTAACATTGCTTTATGGTATAAATACATTTAAGGAAAATCAATGATCCCTGGGGTGGGGCCAATTTTAACCCAAGGGCCCTTATTTGAACAAAAATGGTAGACACCTATTAGAAGATGTTGATGCTAAATATCTTAGCTCTAGCTCTAAAGGTTTTTTAAAAAGAAGATTTTTTAAGTTTTTGCTATAAACATAAAGGGAAAAAAACGACCCCCTGGGGTGGGGCCAATTTTGACCCCAGGGCTTTTATTTGAACAAACTTTGTAGACACCCACTAGAAGATGTTTCATGCTTAATAGCTAAGCTCTAGCTATTTGGGTTTTTTAAAAGTAGATTTTTTAAGTTTTTACTATATACAAATAAGGAAAATCAATGACACCCCCCCCCCCCCCGGGCGGGGCCAATTTTGACCCCAGGGCATTTATTTGAACAAACTTGGTAGACACTGACTAGATGATGTTTCATGCCAAATATTTAAGCTCTAGCTCTTACGGTTTTCTAAAAGAAGATATTTTAAGTTTTTTCTTTTTGTTGCCATGGTTACCAGAGTTCTGCTTGGAATTTAATTCTTTGAATAATTTTTAAAGTTGACTACCAAAGGAACATTTCTGTGAAGTGTGGATGAAATTGGCTTAGTGGTTTATGAGGAGATGTCATTTAAAGTTAAAGTTTACGGACGGATGACGGACGGACGAAAAGCGATCACAAAAGCACACCATGGCACTTTGTGACAGGTGAGCTAAAAATTTTCCATTAACTGTGATATGAGCCTTTTTTGTAGGGCAAAAGCAACAATATATCCATTTTATTATACACGTCTTATAAATGAAATATTGAGAAATATTGATGAAATAAATTGCGTATTTTCATTTTCCGTATTTTCACTGTAAAAATTTATTTTTCACTGCAGTGAAACATATTTTCCGTATTTTCACTGGTGTCTTGCCGGACTACTTTCTTTTAAATTCTGCCAGTACACAAATTTTAAGGGAAAGTCCTTCATTTTTATCGCAAAAAAAGAGTAAAATGTATATAATATTAATAAACAGAAAATTCAAGTTTTTTCTATAAATACATGATTTTTTCACTGTAAAAATTTATTTTTCACTGCAGTGAAACATATTTTCCGTATTTTCACTGGTGTCTTGCCGGACTACTTTCTTTTAAATTCTGCCAGTACACAAATTTTAAGGGAAAGTCCTTCATTTTTATCGCAAAAAAAGAGTAAAATGTATATAATATTAATAAACAGAAAATTCAAGTTTTTTCTATAAATACATGATTTATTTCATCTTGTGGCATGAAAATTACCATATTTCACTTGTGGCTACCGCCACTGATGAAATATTTATTTTCATACCACTCGATGAAAATAAATCATGTATCTATAGAAAAAACTTGAATATCCTCTATGTCTTTGGTCAATTACATGATAGAATAATAATAAAATATGTTATGACATATATATCTTAACGTCTTGGTTAAAACAATAAAGATACTCAATCACTATTGAATACATTTAACATTTTCTACAGAAATAATTGTTAAACACAAAAGAAAAAAAATGGGGATTGAAGTGTCTCAATCAAATTTCTTAAAATGAGGGGTGAACTGTCCGAGGGCTGAAGTGTCTGCAAAAAAGGGTCTAGGGTGAAGTGTCGGGGGTGAAGCATCTGTAAATTGTATGAAGTAAAATACTTGTCAAAAATCTTTAATATTTTTAATCAAGACAGAAAAGTACAGTGTAAGTGTATCCAAATTCTCTGTTCTATTTAAATTTAAGTGAATGATTAAATGTAGAATTTATCACAGCTATTCATGGTGTAAATGTACATGTATAAAAGTAGCCCCTTTTTAATATAAAAATCTTTCATGGGCTACCAGTACAGACTACGGCTGTCATTTAATATCGCTATATCATCCAATACAATATCGATACACACTTTCAAATATCAATAAAAGCTAAAATTTATTTACCGGTATATACCTCTCTATTTTGCCTAATAAGAGAAGTCACTTTTTTCAAGTTTTCTTGGCTAACTTTGTCTTATAATGAACTTAAAACTATTTTTCAAATGTCAGTGACAAAAATAACAGAAAAAACTTTCTGTTAGTTTGTAGTATTTGTAGTGTCTAATACAAGCATGCATAACACCATGATTCCAATTCATAATGCATATTTTAATGTTTTCATTTATCTACTTTCAAAGTCGATATTTGTCTCTTGATATATCAATACAAAATTTTCCATCAATGACAGCCCTAGTTCAGACAGAAATATTTAGCTAGAGGGGAACTGATTAGGATAGGAAAGAGACTTGGTTGATTTTGAGCCACCTAGATATTTACACTAATACCTATATATTCTAACATTTATAAGTGATAATTGTGTTCTGTTTCTTATTCTGAAATATTTGCCTTTGGTTGATCATTTTCAGGTGGTATGTACTTGCAAATGATAATTTAAATAAAACTACTTTTGTTTTTATTTAGATTCAGCACAAAACAAGTAATTTGCATTTTATGTCACAACTTCACTCTTGTTTCAGTTTCTGTTTTTAAGCTTCTTTGTTTAAATTAATATTAATTAAGTATTAAAATACATTTGTTTGTTTTTTCCAGCATACTCAAGATATTGAAGATTGGTTTGGAAACCCTACAGAAGGAATAAACAACAAAACAGAATTTTTTATTGGCCAGTGACTAAGTAAATGAAATGTCATACTCATTATAAATGTGAAATCAATGACTTTTGTTGACAATTTGAAAAAAAATACAATATACTAACATATGGTATTGATATCCTTGCAATATTGAAAAAGTGTGATTGCAATTACTGACAAAAGTGATCTATTGAAGATCTTGAAAAGTGTAAAAACTACAATGTAGGTGACAACATAACTAAGTAATAATCTTTGGAAGTGTGATTACTTATTACATCAGTGATAATCTTGGAAGACTCTTTATGATGTTTTTATGACTTATTGTACATGAACTCATTCTTCATGAAATAAACTTTCATCCTGAATTCAATATTTTTTGTAAAATAAAAGTATAAACTCTCACACTGATTTATATTGTTATCCACCATTAAAGATAAAGGTTTCTTTGTGATATTGCAAGGATATTTCAAGTTCAATTAAATATTGCTACTGGTTCCTGAGATGGGGACGGTCTGTTACATCACAAAAAAATCAATTATTTGACCTTGAAAGTCAAGGTCATTTATGACTTAAGATCAATGTAAGTTTCATCATCTTGAAGGTCTACAATGTATCCACAAGGACAATTCATTCATGAATGATTAAGCTTTAGCCACTTTGGTACATTTTTGTGATATTTTCTAAGTTAAAAAAGACAAATAGTCAGAGTTATGAAACTTGACACACAGATAAAGATGCATTGTAATTTTAATAATTTCCATATACTCATTGCAAAGTTTAATCGCCATTCCAAGCAAAAACAATTAACAAATTCAGTAATTGCATCTTTAAGGCCAAGGTCATTTAAAAGTCAAGGTCAAAGATAATTTGATCTTCATGAATGTCTTGTCCTAAAGGTTATTCAGTCTAATTATGAGACAATTCATTAATACAAAATTTGTAGTCAGTTACAGAAAAAAAGAGAGCAAAATTCAGTTATTTGACCTTAAAGCTCAAGGTCGTTTGTGACTCAAGGTCAGGGTAAGTCTGGTCATCTTAAAAGAACAATCCAGAGAATGTTATTCCATATATGAAATTCATTCATTAACACTAAAGTAGTAGCCACTTTGGTCGTTTTTTTTATGTGGAATATTCCTAAGCTAATAACAAGGGCCATCTGACAGTGATAACATGTGTCGCCTCATGATTGCCAGTCACATGTTGCAGCTACCAAGAGACCCAAAAATCATTAACTGGGCAAAACACTTTTTTATTCAAGGGCAATAACTCAGCTGAAAATCATTCAAGTGAAAAGTTTGTGTATTATCAATTTATGCACAAGTACTTGACCTACCTATCAATCCTGTAAAGTTTCATTGAAATTGCAGTAATTGTATAAGAGGAGTAGTCCTGACAAACTTTATTAACATCCTTTTCATTCAAGGGCCATAACATGGCCAAAAATCATTCAAGCGGGAAACTCGAGTAATTTGTGCTTGTGCAAGTACTTGACCTATCAATCAATCCTGAAAGTTTCTTGGAAATTGCATTAGTGGTATAATAGGAGTAGTCCCAGGGCTTGAGCTAGGTCAAATTTTTAGGGAGAAGTGACTTCTCCCTCCAGCTGATTTAGGGAGTAGTGAGGAGACTTTAGGGAGAAGTTGGGAGACATATAAGGCGTCATCGTCTGGAGAATTATAAGCTTAGAAACTTTACAAACCAGAAAAGAAATTAGAAACACTTCTCAAATACTGTCCGGACAAACTTTAAAAAAATATATAATTAAAGGGCCATAAATCCAACAAAATTTATTGAACCATAAAAGCTGATGATATGCACACAAGACTTGGACTGCGTTCATTGAATGCCGCCTTTCCTTGTCGATCTTGTTTATCATATTTTTTGGTACTGATCATTCCTGTAAATTTAGAAAGAAATTGCACCAGTAGTTTTTGAGAAGTAGTCCAGCATGGGTAAAATGAACAAAAATTCCAGTCTGCTATGCAAGAATTTCCAGTCAGTATACTATAGGTATCCGGTGTAAGATCCTTATAAGAGTCTATGTACTTGGCTTACTTGCATACTTTAATAATTTACTACTTTTTGTCAATTTGTTCTTAGTGAAAGGAATCTGGCATACTTGAATGACAGCTATTAAAAAATTATTAAAAATATATTGTGTGAACACAGCTGAAGTCATTACTTTGACATAAATTAAACATAAGGATGGCTAATACAATGATTTCCCCCCCTACATTTTACAGCCAAAAAGGCTGTTTCCCCTAGCCCAAAATAAGTATATTTTCCCCTAAAAGTGTTAATAATATTTTCCCCTTAAATGCCCTGTGCACTTTTTTACCAAAACCATGACTTAACAGCATCTCACTTATATCTGACAGCTGTCCCTATAGATAGCCTGGCTGACTTATATCAATAACCTCTCCCTATAAATAGCCTCTGCTATGTACCATGCATGTTAAATTGAATTGAAAAGTGAAAATTTTATCAAATGTGAATTTGATGTCACTAGATTTCCCTGTTTTCTGGTAAATCACACTATATTTTCCCCTTCAGAAAGCCACAGGTTGTTTTTAAAATTGGAAAAAAAATCACTGTGATACATTGACAGATTTGTTTTAATGGCTTCAAAGATATTTGTTATTGAATCAAATAAGAAAGTTATAGCACAGGAATCTGATTATAATAACCATATGCAAGCCACAATTATTCTTTTAATCATTTTACTATGGTGGTTATTTTTGCTCAGTTCCCTTACTGACTACTAAAGTGACAGGTTTACAGTATCATGTGTAAAGGCTGGTATGCACAGTAATTCAGGTGCTCTCAATATAAAATGAAAGCTAAATAAATTATAGATTACAGTAAAGTAGTATCTACTTTAGCCCAAAACTACAAATGAAGCTTTGAGAAAAAATCTGCAATGTAATATTCAGTTCAATTTACACATGAAAACTACAAATTTTATGTGTCCATAAGCCATGTCATAGTGCCAATGGCATATTTATATACTTAAATACATATTATATGTATATAAGATATTTCATAAAGATTGTGTTCTATCAATGAGACAAAACTGTTTGTTGTAATTATACTGTTTAATTTATCATAGTACATTACTACAGTTATGTTGCTTGCAAACAAATAAATAAAATTGTTTTGATCCTTCAGATTCATGCTGGTTAATAATGCATGTAATGTAAGGATACACCACATAGTAATAATGATTTGCCATAGTTGAATAAAAATATTCGACAAGAATTTTTTTCACAATCATTTACAAACTGTTGATGAAATCCTTTTATTTTTTTCCATTGTAAATTTCATTACTGATTAGTTGATTATGTAGAGGAAAAATATAATTAAAAAGCCTTTCTTGAATAAAAACACATGAAAACAACCACTTTTTTACCAAAATTACATAACACATAGTGAATATGTTAACATGTCAAAACAACTTTAATGAACCTTTATTTTAATATATATTATTTTTCTTGTAAATATACTCTTACAATGAAGTTACTCTTTGATAAATTCAAAATAATTGAAGGCCTTATATTATGAGTTCAAACATTGTCATTGTTCTTGTCAATTATTTTTTAAAATGTTCATGTCCTTTTCCTTCAGTTAATTTAACTAAGACCAGTCATACTGAAACAATTGTTCTTTATCATTTATTTTATTCCCTTGTGTCAATGATCTTCATTTAATCAAATACCAAATGAAAGAACATCAATTACTTAAATTTGCAATAGAGAATAATTAACATACTATTGTATTTTTTGATATCAATTTTATCAGACAAAGCTGATATGAGCTTGTTTATGTCATATATAATAAATTAAAAGCAGACATAACAGCAACAAAATAGAGAAAATAAAGAATCCCTAAAGAAAGCCCATCATGGTAAAATTATAAAATGTTGCATGCTTGGTTTGATTGTGCCTGTTCATGGACGGTACTGTCAAGTGCAAACCACTGTCCACGCCCCCTTGGCTTAAGCAGAATTCAACATTTAACATGAACTGGTACAACTTTGAATTTTGAAACATCCGCAGATGTGTTCATATGGCCGTCATCATGGAACCTTCAATGTGACACGTAAGTGTCATTCCATGAAAAGCGGCATATGATCCCCAAGTAAAAAAATGCGTGTGCCCTAAACGAGAAAACAATGGGAGGAACTAAATAAAATGGAATTTCGAAAGGGGATCAGAGGTTATGAGTCTATGATTTTAAGGAATTTCTTTTTTGTTTGAGTTTTTATTCTCTAGGGCAGTAAACCATGCAATAAATGATAGTAACCAATGTCTTAAATGTTTAAATAAAATAAGCTAACATACTGAAGTCCATAATTTAATTTATCTATTAGTATTATAATTGCATGAATGATAAAAACATTAATTAATGATATTGTATTTGTTAAAACACTATTTACTTATTTTTTCTATATACGGTATGTATATTTAACTTTTTGATCTTGTAACTATGAACTATGCAAATAAAAATAAGTAAATTATTGTAAACAAAATTAAGAAACAAGATAATATTAAACATGGAAGGCTACATGTACATGTATGATGTATATACGGTATATACCTTGGACTTTATAAGTTGATAGTGTTTAAAATTAATAAAATTTGGCAATTGTCCAATAACCCCCTTGCAACACGGCTTTTTAATTTGTTACAAAGATGGGTTTTTTTTTTCAGAAAAAAATATCAACTTCCAACAATTTACCAAAAAGGCAAAATGTGCACGAAGTAACCAGGGGACGAATAATTTGAGTTATTGACTCGAAATTCAGAAAATAGTCAAATGTATCGTCAAGAAATCAATTAGGAGTGAAACAATGGTTCTTGTATAAACATGCTATTACGTATGTTTAATCATATCGGCCTAATTTATCAGTAAAATAGTAAACACTTACCCTACTTTCACTTTGTAATTTCGGAAAATTTCGAAGCGAGTTAGGTAAACAAGAACGACATGCGAATGAAACTGATATTGTTTAAAAAACGTCAGTCTCAAACCATGTCACTAGTGTTAAACCCACAATCGTTTTCCTCTGCCTTCGTCCTATGATGATTGTCCGAATAATTCCATGAAATACAACAAATATCCATGAAAGGTCTGAATCGTCGCGCATTTCCTGCTCTAGGTCAGCCATCTTGTTTTTGTTACTATTTTTAGCACAGTCAGTGCTCTCCAGTCGGTAATTACAAATAGAAAAACTGCTATTAAACGAAATTTTCGCCTTAGGATAAAATTTAAGTTAAGGAATTTCTTGCCTAAGGAATTCACTTAAGGGATTTTTGACCTCTAAGTTAAGGGAAAATTTTACCTTAGGGAGTTTTCTTGAAGATAAGGAAATGTTTCCCTTAAAACTTAAGATCCTTTATGAATACGGCCCCAGATCAACACCTTAATAGGATTTCTAAACTGTACCATTCAAGGCCGTAACTTCATGAATAATAATGAATTCATCATCCAAATATATATGCTTTTTTCAAAATTGTACCAAGGGCAATAACTCTATATTGTATACTCTAATTATCAATACAACACTTAAATATATAAGCTATTTCAAAATTGTATCAATGGCAATAATTCTACAAATATGCAGTTAGGCACATAAATGCTAGTTAAGGAGCCCATACCTTTATATAATAATTAGTTCAACATTTCATGCTATTCCTTAACCGGACCATCACTTTCAATATAAACACGTAAATACCTTTAATGCTGTTTAAAAACTTGATCAAGGGCAATAACTCTGCCATCAGTTCAAAACTCAAAGGGGTTAAACGGAGTGTTACATACAGAAGTGCAAAATGGGATGGCAGTCCGAGGAAATATAAGAATACATACTTTTGTTTAGCTACAAGCAGCAGATCACTAAAGAGGAACAGGTAACGGTCCTGCGTCTGCATCCCACGGGAAAACTCCACAATTCCCTCCATAAGGTACTGTCGGTTGAAATTGTTGTTAGTCCGTGAGGGACGGAAAAATTCCATGTCCTTTTTCCCCATGCTTGGTGTTGGTCTGAAATAATAAGAACAGGTGTGTGATAATTAAAGCATTGCAAAAATAAAGCATAAGAAAGAATTTCTCCTTTTTTTTTCTGAACATAAATATAACAAGATATGTTTGTAAAACATGTATGCCCCCTATCAGCAGCCAATTATTCATGTGATAAGGTAATTATGCATGACTTCTGACCCAGTGATCAAACAATTAATAAGGGTTATCAAGTATCTACTGGTCATGACCTTGACCTTTGACCCCTTGACCCAAAACTCAATAGGGGTCATCTGCTGGTCAAGACCAATCATCATACAAAGTTTGAAGTTCCTAGGCCTAAGCGTTTTTAGTTAATTGATCAGAAACCGTTTTTACTTACAAGGTCAATGTGACCTTGACCTTTGACCCCTTGACCCCAAAATCAATAGGGGTCATTTGCTGGTCATGACTAATCACCATGCCAAGTTTGAAGTTCCTAAGCCTAAGGGTTCTTTTATTATTGATCCGAAACCGTTTTAACATACAAGGTCAATGTGACCTTGACCTTTGACCCCAAAATCAATAGGGGTCATCTGCTGATCATGACCAATCACTATGCCAAGTTTGAAGTTCCTAGGCCGAAGCGTTCTTTAGTTATTGATCAGAAACTGTTTTTACTTACAAGGTCAATGTGACCTTGACCTTTGACCCTTGATCCCAAAATCGAAAGGGGAAATCTGCTGGTCATGAAAAATCACCATACCAAGTTTGAAGTTCCTAGGCCTAAGCGTTCTTAAGTTATTGATCAGAAACCGTTTTTACTTAAAAGGTCGATGTGACCTTGACCTTTGACCCCTTGACCCAAAACTCAATAGGGGTCATCTGCTGGTCACCACCAATCATCATACAAAGTTTGAAGTTCCTAGGCCTAAGCGTTTTTAGTTAATTGATCGGAAACCGTTTTTACCTACAAGGTCAATGTTACATGACCTTTGACCCCTTGACCCTAAAAACAATAGGTCATCTGCTGGTCATGACCAATCACCATACCAAGTTTGAAGTTCCTAGGCCTTAGGGTTCTTTAGTTATTGATCGGAAACCGTTTTTGCCTACAAGGTCAATGTGACCTTGACCTTTGACCCCTTGACCCCAAAATCAATAGGGGTCATCTACTTGTCATGACCAATCACCATACCAAGTTTGAAGTTCCTAGGCCTAAGGGTTCTTTAGTTATTGATCGGAAACTGCTTTTACCTAAAAGGTCAATGTGACCTTGACCTTTGACCCCTTGACCCCAAAATCAATAGGGGTCATCTACCGATCATGACCAATCACCATATCAAGTTTGAAGTCCCTAGGCTAAGGGTTCTTTCGTTATTGATCGGAAACCGTTTTTACCTACAAGGTCAATGTGACCTTGACCTTTGACCCCTTAACCCCAAAATCAATAGGGGTCATCTACTGATAATGACCAATCACCATATCAAGTTTGAAGTCCCTAGGCCTAAGGGTTCTTTCGTTATTGATCGGAAACTGTTTTTACCTACAAGGTCAATGTGACCTTGATCTTTGACCAACTTAACCCCAAAATCAATAGGGGTCATCTGCTGGTCATAACCAATCACCATACCAAGTTTGAAGTTCCTAGGCCTAAGGGTTCTTTTGTTATTGATCGGAAACCGTTTTTACCCAAGAGGTCAATGTGACCTTGACCTTTGACCCCAAAATCAATAGGGGTCATCTACTGATCATGACCAATCACCATACCAAGTTTGAAGTTCCTAGGCCTTAAGGTTCTTTACTTATTGATCGGAAACCGTTTTTTGCTTACAAGGTCAATGTGACCTTGACCTTTGACCCCTTGACCCCAAAATCAATAGGGGTCATCTACTTGTCATGACCAATCACCATACCAAGTTTGAAGTTCCTAGGCCTAAGGGTTCTTTAGTTATCACTCGGAAACCATTTGGTCTACGGACCGAAGGACCGACGGACCGACAGACCGACGGACCGACGGACCGACAAGTGCAAAGCAATATACCCCCTTTTCTTCGAAATGGGGGCATAATTATCTTTATTTTATTGTACATAAATCATTACTAAGTTTACGAATGTACAAGTTTATCTTAGTCTGATTGTATTGGAAACAATCTCGAACCAACCAGTATTAAGCAGTGAGTGTAAAGTTTCTTAATCATGGAAAAAAATGGCTTGCCCTCGACGGGATTTGAACCCACTTGGCCAGCAATCCTTAGATTAGTTATTCAATGCATTAACCACCTGGCCATGCATCCACTTCCATTACTTGTACATGTATCTATTTATCTAACCCTTTCCCTGCTGGAACTAATAGTGATTAGTCTTTACCACAAGTATAGAGCCAGGCCATGCTGTACACTCATGCAATCTGTCCAGACTCTATACTGTTGGCTGAATTGACTTAAAATTTTTGTCTTGATTGGGAGCTGGGCAAGTCCATTTAAGAAATAAGTAGTTAAATTGTAAGGAAGCAAAATATTCTGACTTTTGTCCGAACAGTTTGTAATTGATGTCAATTCTTATATATAAACTATTTATTTTTTAATGAACACAACAAGGGCATGACATGGTTTTGACCTAGTTTTCTTGTTAATTCTATGACCAAAAATAAATGTGAAGTACATAATGAATGATATCGATGTATAATGTTAACAAAAAGGCTTTCAAGTCTTTCATTAACATTTCTTTAAATATTATGATTAATTGGGCAAACTTTAAATATTGACAATACATCATCTTAGTTTGTTTTATGTGCATTTAAATTCATTATAACACATGTGAAGATAGCGAAGTTCCCTTTTCATATTTTACTTTTGTAGAAATTTTAATGTGACATGCATATTGAGTCAATCTTAAAGGAACTCCACTGAGGTCCAAAAGGCATGAAAATATAAAATTAGAAAAATATTATCAAGTGAAGCATATAAAATGGAAAAATGTACAAAGGCCAAAAAAGAATCAACTTTTGTGTGATTCTTAGCCGGATTTGAGTGAAAAGCGTACATTGCAACTGTTTTATTTTTGGGTCGTTTTGCACAATTAAAAAAAATATTCCGGTAAAATGGGTTAGGGAACAACCTGAAAATTTGCACACAAGTTAATGGTCTAGACTTTCATCTATAATGCACGGTACACAGATCTTGGAAAAATATTTCCTGTTCTGTCATGTCAAAAAAGCTAAGTCGAGTCCCTTTATGACTTGTTTCTCATACATGTATTCAAAAAGAAAAAAAAAGTTAGTTACCAAAGATGATGCAGAATTTAGTCTTCTTATAAACAGTCCAATATTTCACATGTTCTTTATTTTTTAACGAGAGTGTTCAATGTTAAACCACCATTTTGTTAAATTAAGTCCATAGTAACAGAAACCATGAGCAAATGTTATTGTCCGACACTTTTAATATGCGTTATCCTATATTTGATCACTTTTCATATAATTATATATTTTTTTATCACAACAATTTATCATTTCATCATTCTCCATTTGAATGAAGCGTGATGTTTAAAGGATGATCCATGAATTTATTATTTTGTAACAAAAAATAAATCGAGAAATATCTCAATGGAATTGTTCATCACCGTCCATGACCTTTCACAGTGAATTGTCAACAAGGCTTTATTCAAAAGATTTTCAAAAGAGTTTCATTGACTTAGTGGGTGGATAAAAAAAGACGTATAAAAAAATTCTTATTTGAAGAAACCCGTGAATTTCAAGTGTTGAAACCTCTTTAAATAGGATTTAAAACCGATTAGGAGTTATTTAAACTTGAACATAGTTGCTGTTTAGTTTGTAAAGTACTGTAAAACCTTTGTAACAATGGCTTTCCAAAGGACTAGAATATACATTCGGCACTTTTTTGGGGATGGCAATTGGCCAACTGGTTACTGTCATCAGACTAATAATCTATAGATCACTATTCACATAAGCCCAAACCATGTCAGGGACAAGTCGGCTGCCGCTGTTTCTTTGAGCCAGAAACTGTACACTCATTGCTCAGTACTGACTGGTTTCAGGGTTTTAATGAAAATTGAGAATATGTCTAAATTAACTCAAAGCTTCCTTCGCAGTCAAACTAAAATATTTTCTGTATAAACTAAACAAGTAAATCTTTATATCAGTGTAGAAATTCATTGCATAAGAATCTTTAATAAGAAGAATAAGATTATGTCAGAAAAGTATGAGGAAGGAAAGAATGACTGATTTAAATTTATCAAATTCATTTCCTTGAACATTCTGCACAAACTTCTGCTTGTTTCCATAGAATGGGTCTCTGTTCACTGATTTTATGCAACAATACCTATAACAGTATAATGCTTGTTAGAGTGTGCGACCCTGCTGACTTTTGTCTGAGAATTGCGCCATTGATTTCAAAAAATTAAAAATTCCCCAGCACGCACTTCTTTAATTTAATTTTCAAACAAAACAATTGATATGAAATAAAAAATTCCCATGATGCTGACTTTGTTAGATTCATTACTGTCTTCATAAACAACTTTTTGCACCTTTGATTTATCATAATGAACTATGGTACTTTTGTATTAAACAACTTACGTATTCAACTTGCGCTATTTCTGTCACTGAATTGGTAATAAATAAATTTTCATTTTAGAAACTGCATCCAATAGAATATTATGAATAATTTCGATGTTTATTTTATAATTTTAAGTGAAAATCTCAGTGTGGAGTGCACTTAAACAAATCAATTAACATAAAATTAGATCTAACGAGTTTCAATCCAAATTAAAATTCAAACGATTAAAATGAAACCATGTGTTTTTATTTCCCAGTCTATCATCATATATTGTTCACCGCTTATTAAAATGATTTACGTTTGACGTATTTGGCTGCGTTCCACGCTGATTTATGAACAGTAACAAATTATAAATATATATACGCCCTACCTCTAAAGAAAAGAGTTGAAGCAGTTTAAGAAAATTAAGAAAATATATCTGTCAATACATGTGACACGAAAATTAGCAGAGAAATTTCAACAATAAAAGCCTATATGATACTCATTATATCATTTAATAAACTAGAATTAATTTCACCATAACATGTCAACAGTTACTATTTTTGGCATAAAGCAAAAGTTTACAAAAAATTTACATTATCTCTTTTTTGATTTACTTTGACATTATAACATTAACTAGATCAATCTGCTGTCCAGCTAAACATTTATTTCATTATATGCTTTTTTAAATATTTAAAAAAAAAATATATATATCTATTAACTTAAATGACCTGCATTGCATTTGCAAGTGTCCATTCTTCCTTGAGGTCAGTTTCGATAGCAAAATGCTATAACCAAACAGCCAAATATAGATTCCAGTCAGAATGTATCAACAAATAAGTGGGCCTGGCTCCGCACTTAAGGCAATAGGTCCTTATAACTGCCATTTGAGCTTTAAAAAATTCAGCTAACTCGGTCGCTATGCCATGTATCTATATTCTACATTTGTAAAATCTTTTAGCTTTAGCTGTCATGTAACGCCGACATAATATTTGTGACAAATAACGTGTTACTTTCGTGACAATATCATCTCTCATATTGTGAAAGCTTTAGCTACAATTTATACTACACGTTTAATGTAAATATAAAATGCTTACATCTATTTATTATACCCTGCCCCTCACTGCAAGACTTTCGTCACAAGGAAATATGAATTTGAGATGGTAAACGTGCATAATCTTTCACAAGTCTTTCCCCTTCCAAATATTTAAATAATATTTGAACAAGTAAAGGATGTGGAGTATCGAAAATAAAGGTTCACTTGTTATGCCATAAAAATTGGACTATAAAAAGAGGCGAAAATATTAGTTTTTCCTATTGGGGGAAATATATCATTATCTAAAAGACACCATGTGTGTTCTTTAATAAAGTACGCAAAAATGAATACTTGGCATCCAGGTTCAAAGGATCATAACTTATTCCACAAAGTATAACCAGTTAGGACAGTTTTGTTTTCTGCCGTTCATATATCAACCACCAAAATTGTTCACTCGTATATATGATCATTATCATTCCGCTGGAATAATTAAATAGGTTGAATTCTCACACTTGGGTGACCCAAACCTTAATTACGCTAAGGTGAAATAAGAATGGGATGGATATCGCTATATTAAACACGTTCTTTAAACAAGTATCAATTGAATCTCGCATTATCGTCAAAATCTATTCATTAACTTAAAGAATGAAATCCGGGGCAAGCCCACTTCGTATCTAAAAATTTCACCTTTGTAGCATTCCCTACAGAATCAACTTGGCGTGAATGGCTCTTATTACATTATAAAATTCGTATTTCATATTTCACCTTACATTATTTCTGAATACATTATCTTCAGCTCAAATGTCTTCACTTAAATCGTTATGACAATTGAAAACATTTCTTTGATAACTTACATAATTAAAACCATCTTACAAAAAAAGACTGGTTTCTTGTATGTAAAAAAACTGAAAATTTTCCGTCATGAAAAAATAAAGTTTGTTTAAAACATGTCAAAATTTGATTGATGAACACTTTAAGATTTGTCTGTACTAAGTTTTTGTTAATTATCAAATCTTTTTATATGTTTATTTATTTTCTTGTTACTGTCACCTTCTGATATAAATAGTATAATTAGGTTAAAAAAATAAATCAAATGCCAGAATCATATACATTGTATATCTAAAACATTGACTCTCGTCACTGTTATTGGGCACAGTGAGTTAATGTTATTTATAAACACACAAACAAAAGATTCCCCATTAAATTGTATGTAGATCTTTTTCAGGGAATTTCATTCAAATATGGGGTTTAACACATATGCAAGTTCTACCCTGAATCAACAATTGTAAAGGCCTTTATTAACCTTCTGAATTTATGTATTGGATTTGCCCGGCTTTTAATTCGGAACAGTTCATTCAAAGTTATAGGGATTTTAATATTAAAATACAAAAAAGAAGTTACCAACAGTATAATACCTGGTCACATGGTGCACGCTAGCCTACCTCTATAAAATGTTAACCATGCACATGTGGTTCCAGCAGGTTCAAAATTTACAAGGGCAATAGTAAAATGTTTGTATTACATATTTAATGTACTTACTGTAAATTATTTGAGCTTTTTGTTTTTCCAAGTGTCTTGAAGAGGACTGCCCCAGGGGCAGATTTCCTTCTTGCAGACAAATGACGTCTCTGAAATTATACAAAAACAACATTTATCAATGATATGCTAAAAACATAAAACCTATTGTCTAAAGTTTGTTAATGAAAGGGAGGTAACTGCAATCTACATTTCATAGATATTTGCAAGATGAAACCAATATTTACAAACAATGAAAGAAGGTAACTAAATCCTGATATTAAATAAATACTTCTATTTACGCAGTAAATCAGTCATAAAACACAAATCCAATTGAATCCAAGAAAAAAATCCTAATTTAAAAAGATTTGGTACAAAATAAATATCCAACAAAATATTAACCAATTACAACAGCAACCACATTTAGAAAAGTCAGATACACATGTATCTTATAATAAACCTTCTTGTGACAAATGAATTTAAATTGTAATTATTTTCCTTGAGTTTTGACAGACTCGATAAATCCTATAAAAAAATTATCTACTTATGTCTGAAAATGAACTACTGTAAATAATGAAAAACGAAAAACTAAATAATAGCATAGCAACAAGGTCACCACCTTGTTTGACACCAGGTTATATTTTTATTGTAATATCATCTGATAAAGGTATGTAATAAAGCACTTGTATTATTCTCAAAAAAATTGCAAAAATTTAGAAATAGGTCTGTTATTTTTCATTTTTTTATGAAATACATTTTTAGTAAGTTTATCATAAGCTGAAGTTTTATTGTAAACATCCATTGCTAAAGTGATGATGATGATGACAATACCGATAACGGTTATGATAAAAGTGATGATGGTAATGCTAGAAGTGATAATGATAAGTACAGTGATGATGATGATCAATATGATAAGGGATACAAATGATTAAAGTAATGAGGATGATGTTAGCAATCAAGATGATGATGATGACAACAATACAGATGATGATGATAATGATTTTTTATGTTAAACATGATGATGAAAAGATATTGCCTGTATGATAAAGGCCTGATATGATGCAGAAAATTAACTCATAATGATTATAAATGTAATATATTTCCACAGATAAAACTTAATACATTAGTGAATTAATCCAATGTTCAACAAATCACACTTCAATCATCCTTGTATTCCTTCTTTCAAAAAATCCATTTCATTTTCACACTATCTTACAAACTAACAAAAAAATCTGCAATGTTAAATCATCAATCTGTTATCAAAGTTACATAAAATTAGTGAACTTATGGGGTCATATTTGAAATAACGTCTGACAAGACGTACCTACAGACCCCGAATATCTACCATACAAATCTGAGAGCCATCTAACACTAAACAGACATTAAATTGGTATGTATGTAACACGATAACATAATATACAGAATAAAATGGAAATTTCCAAATATAAGTGTCCATACCCGCTCTTCATCATAGAAAAACCCTCTGTTATGTAAATAGGGGCATAATCCCATAATTCCGAAAGATATCGTTTCAACCATAAACTATTTAACTGTATCATATATGATGTTATCCGATCTTAAAACCGTCAAAAAACACAATGAGATACAGAAATTAAGAGGCAAAAATTGTTCTAGCAAAAATACATAAGACTCGTGCAAAACAAACTGATAAATGTCAGGATTACGGAAACAATATGATTAAGCGGAGGAAGGAGCGAACATGTTGTAGCATCGGCACTCAGACACGTGGGTCACGTTATCATTCACTTTCCCAATTAAGGCGAACAAATGGCCTCACTAATTACGCGAAATTTTAACATTTTAGCCACAAATTACCTAACAACTGGATTATTTCCGTTCAACACCGACTGCAGATATTTGACTCTCTATCAATTACCCATGCAGTTGTCTCCCTTTACTGGTATGTTCAATATAAAAGGGGAAGTAACTTTGTAAGTAATAGATACTTAATTGTTGATCTTTGGATTACAAATGACCCAGCATCATCCTAATTGCATAACATACCTTAAAAAGTTTGTGTATACATAAGAAAACTGTGTAGGCAAACAGTGGGCAAACATTACGGTTAAATACAATGACACATATTCACCTTTGAAACCCCCACAAAGATTATCTCTTTTAATCTCTTTGAATCAATTAACATTGCAGTGTTTCTAATGCATCATTTAGCCAAACGAACTATCTCTTAATTTTCCAAATACGTAAAGTCTTTAATGATAGTGCTTATGATTATTCATAGACATATGTTTTATTTTTCATGACGCCAAACAAATTAGTAAAATTATATTAAGTCAAAACACAATAAGTCACAGACACATTTAAGCCATCATGATCATGACAATTATAAAGGAGTCACACCAAAATCCTTATAATCATGAAACTGAAAGTCATTTAACAGAAGAAAAAGACGGTTCAGTTTAAAATAGCCAAATTGAGGAACGTTTTGGATACTATAAAAGTACATCGAAATTAAAAAGCTTCTGAGAAATAAAAATAATTTAAAAGCTTTTCTGAGGCAAAATGGGCCTTTAAATGAGAAAAATTGCAAAAAAAAAATATTGCAGTAATAATCATCTATTATAATATACTATAATCTTAGGCATTTGTCACTACAAAGTAAACTATCCTATGGTCTAGTACGAAGAAGTATTCTTAAACAATGTATGACGTCAAATTAAATTGTAAATCAAGTTTTTTGTTGTAAGATAACGGAACATGCACCGATTAATAATTTATACACCCATCAAATAACACTACATTACAAAAAACTTGTATACAAATAGATTAACCAGACAAGAGATGATATGTTTTTTACCTTCCGCTTTTTTTTCGGACGACCACCCAGTGTGTGAATCCATCAGAAAATCACAGAATACTCAAATACAGAGGGACCATAGTGGTTGAATATCAAAAATATTAATAAACAAATACCTTTAGAAGTTTGGGTACCAGAAATTTTCTAAGAAGTTCATAAAGGGAAATAATTTTGTAAATATGATTCCTTCTGTATGGTCAGCGACTAATAAGTAAAATTCCACAGATATAAGTAAAGCTAATGCTTAGTTATTTTAAAGTCCATCAAGGAATGACAGAATTGCTGTGTGTATATTTGGTTTATTTACCCTCGCCTCGAACCATATGGGCGAGCATATGACTGTACATCAATATCAATGCACATTTTTGAAAATTTCATTTGGAGTCAAAATGTGACCTTGACTTTTGAGCTACAAGTGTGGGTCTTGCACGAGACTAATTGTCTCAATGTGCTACAACACATTTTTGCAAAATTATTTCAAAACCCATCCATTAATAGAGTTATGAACCAGACACAAAGAGTGGTTGGATGCAAGAACACCTGAAGGATGAAATACCGTATATGCCCTACCATTTTATTTTTTTGCGGCGTTGGTGGGTGGGGGGCAGAAGTAAAAAAAAATCCGGTCAAAATCTACTTTCATTCCTGCTTCAGTTTTACAATAACAATCAAGCATAAACAAACAAAACAAATATCAAGAATGAATCAAATCAAGTAATGTATCATCACCTTAGCCTCATGTTTTACAAGCCTGTACTAGTGTAGTAATATAACCTTACACATTGCCCTGCATGTTTCAGGGTTTGATTATATGTTGTAACAGGTATCATTTAATGAGAGAGATTGGTAAAACACCATCTTAACATAACAACAACAGCATTGACAAGAAACAACAACCACCCACCAGTTTACAGGAACTGTTGCGGATCTTGTTTGAGCTTTTTGTTGAAAGGAGTATCACTATATGTAAGGTCAGTGACTTGTCATGAATCATAAAACATAATATCTAAAAATATTTAGGGGAGCGATGGTCTAGTGGTTAAGTTGTCTGCCTCTCAACCCAGAGATCATGGGTTTGAGCCCTACTCTGGCCACAATCATGCTTCTTTATATGACACCAGTACTGGTTGGTTCCAGGAAGCAGACTCGAAAGTGATTAATATAAGTTGCAAGAACTTGTTTCGCAATCAAGCTAAAATATTTTTAATATGTTAAACCAATCTAAAAATATTAATAATCAAGCAGAAAGTAATGTGGAACAAAAGACACAGTTATTGTAATCAAGTAATCCTGTATTTCTTTTTACCAGTATTGTTGCTAACCCTGTTTTTAAGCAGGACACTTAAAAACAGGGCTGGTAACACTGAACTGGTTGCTCAAATGTCAAATTGGCTCATATTATTTTTATCAAATTGTCAAAGATATCTACCATAATTATGTGGCATGTGAGGGATTCAAACTTGTGCACAAGAGATTGGGATGGCTAGACAAAGAAGGGCAATAGTTTTAATATCTCCATACCCAAACAAACAAACCTTAAATTCCCCTGCATTGCTGTACTAAAATCACAGTGCAGCTGCATGCACTGACAAAGAGCACTTAGGTAATGTAAACATATAAGTAACATGGCAACCATTCAACAAATTAACTATGTAAACACCAGCAATGCCACCTGTTGGTAACTCAATTTTAGTGTTTAGATATAAATTTTTGTTTGTTCCCTTTTAGGTCAGTCTGACACTGTGACTTTTACAGCTTTACTGGTGGAAGAAGACCTCCGATGTCTGTCTGTGCATTATTTCACGGGATGAAGGGCCGCCTGAGTAGAACCACCGACATTGACCTTCTGCAAGCTAGCTGGATACCTTATATTAATAACCGGACATTTCAAATTCTATGCATCAGCATACATGTGAATTTTTTTTCGATGATCAAGTGGGAGATTTTTCTTCAAAAAGAGGGAGATTTTAGAATTTGCAATAAACAAAGGAAGTTCTGACATCAAAAATATGGAGTTTTTTTTTTTTATTTGTGAAAAAAAAAACCATTTTAAGAAAAATCTTTGAAAATATGGCTGCAGAAAGTGGGAGTCTCCCGCTTTAAGTGGGAGAGTTCACATGTATGCATCAGGCAAGTCCATTAAAGAATGGTTGAACCGTAAAAAACCCATTGAGCCAAGATTTCAGACATGTTCTTACAACAACTTGTAAATCAAGCTTGAAAAATTGAAAGGACATAATTTAATCCCCTAGCTTATAAAACCACTGAATATTCAGA